AGGTCCCTAGAACGCCTGGCAGACCTGGCAAAGGTAGTTTCTGGGCTTTGCACCCAGAATCGGGAAACATGTTTGAAAACGGGTGTTATCTAAGACGTCAAAAGCGGTTCAAATGCGAACGTATAATGAGGCATGTTGCCAAATATTCCGGTGGTATGAACGAGTTGGCTAATATGTCCTCCTCCCGAAGCGGCAGTAGTTCTAGTTTAGATTACCCCAATAACAGTACTAATAGCAACAATAACTCATACGCAACCAATAAAATTCAACCCGCAAACATGGAGAGCTTAGACCGCTCCCATCATCACCACGCTCATCCTAATCGCGGAAATGATAACAATAACTCGATGCATAATAACAACAACAATGATAGTATCAACGTGCCAATGAACTTTGCCCCCAATCAACCGGAATACAAAGTTCCAGGAGATGAGTATAACGTGAACGGTTTCAATATTTCTCATTCCCCAAATAAAAGATCACCCATTTTTAACCAAGCTCACATGGCTTATGATCATCCAAACAACGCTATTAGGGCCGACTTACCGAATATAATGGGTAACGCATCATCGGGGGCTTATGCCAACGATAACATGAACACTTCTTTTGCCACTTCCGCTGTTCTTACCAACAAATATCCTTCCTACACTGGCCCGAGCCAGCTGCACGTCGATGCCAACGGAGTTAGCATCGCAGATTCCCAGACTATCTTTCAAACGGAAAATGGGCTCGATGTTAGGCAACCATTGTATCAGGAAAATTTTGGCGAATCTTACCACGAAATAGCAGTGTCCTACAAAACTGATCACGTGACTAACAACCCTTCGGCCAGAAATATCGTCTACAGTAACGGTTCTATCGATAACAATCTCTCTGATAATGAAGTCTTCGCTATCCAACCTCTGCTCAACGATATCCACGACATAAATTTTGACAACTTAAAGACAAATAATTCTAACAACCCTAATATTAACGTATGTGGCGGCGCAAACACAGAGTTCGACATGGTCAATTTATTGAACGGTAATAAACTTGTTGAACCCACCCGCGCTCAATTAAGTAACGGCGTCATTAAAGCCTTGCCATCATCTACCGCTATCCAAAAACCGTCCGATCACTCAAGAGGGGCGCATGCCGGGTCGCCCCTCCCCTACGAGCAAGGTCAGGAACAATATTACTCTTACAACGGTTGTAACGAAGGCTATCCCCATAATACTAACCATTTCTATAAATCGCACATGGAAGAATTGACCGCTACCGACACTCACTCTTTGCCGGGTGCTAAGACTCGCTCTTACTCCATGTTGGGGAGATATGTCGAATCGAATAACGATCTTTACAACTTTGCGAAATCCGCCAACTCGACCGATGTACATTCCCTTGCAACGAATGGTGAGGGTGTCGGCGATAGCCGGTACCGGTACAACGAGAGAGAGGGCTACGATAATAATCCCTGTACCCAAACATCGAACCATACGGCCCCGTACAACGCTAACAAACACACGCAACATCAATCTCCAATGACAACCAAGTACGATGCCTGCGGAAATCGCGGTATGTTTATCCGAGAAAACCAAAGCCAAAACGATGACGCGACGACCAACGAAAGCTGTCATCAACACACGAATAATTACTCGGTGCTTAAAAAAACGGCTCAAACATTTTCGAACCCGTCTATCCGATCCACGTATTCAGCCGGTTCCTCCCATTCCAGAGACGACGATTTGGAGAGTTTCAACGATTCCCCCGCTTAACCGATAATCCATTTTAAGGCACAAATTAATGGGAAATAATTTATACATATTCATGCTCAGGGATATTACAATATTAAACATATGTTTTTTTTTATTATTAAAAAACAATCATGCAATTAACATTTTTTTCTTTTCTTTTCATTTTTTTTTTCATTTTTTTTTGAATTTTTTTTTGATATAATAATTAAATTCTCCCATCCTAATAATAGGTAGATATTACCAAAAATTTCCAAAAAAAATTTCCTTTTATATATATATATCTCCTTTACAGACCTCATTTCTAACTTAATTGTTTATACTTTTTTGGGACCCCAAGCCATATAAGTTATAAGCACAATTTGTAACATGATTCTACATCATTCCTTATATATAAAATGTAGAAATTCATCTTAAGAAACGTATTATAAAATAGGGTTTTTTTAAAAAAAACATAGATAATTTTAAGGTACTCAAAAATAATTCCAAAAAAAAAAATATTATATAATATCATCTTCAATAATTTCGATAATGGTCTCTAAATAAAGATATTATAGCTATTGAAAGCCAAATTATCAAATTATTTTCAATTTCATATACCTGCCTCTTTGCCTTTTTTAAATTTTTTTTGTAATTTAAATATTAAAAATTAGGTAAAGATGAGAATATTAATTAGTTAATTAATTAATTAAGAATGACTTAAATGGGAAATTTTGTTTTTTAAGAATTAAAGATTAGAGGAAATATATAATTTTTGTATTTATAAAAAAATTTTTTTAATATAATTTATTGAAATCAAAAAATATTTTAATATATTTAATTTTAATTATTTTATTTGTATTTTTTTCGCCCGTTAATTATATATAAATATTACTATATAGGAAATTACTTTTTCTGTGAATAAAATTAAAATAAGAATTACTATTATTACTATTAATTATTATATTGTACGATTATTATAATATAATGAAATAATTTAAAATGTCATAATTTATAAAATAAAATTATTTGTATAAAATTGTTATGTAATTTAATTTTTTTTTTTTGTAGTCTAAATGAAAAGATTTATGAAATGAAATAGTTTATACATTATATAGTAGTACAAAATACGAATAAATATAAATTTGACCAAATTGGCAAAATATATACCTAATAATTTGACAAATGATCATTCTGGCCGCATTCATAGTGTATCTGTTCCTAACACAATTTAACAGCTGATCGATTTTTAAAATCGGTTTATGAGAATCAATTTTTCTTTATTAAAACCAATATTTCTTAGGTTATAATCATGATGTATAGAATCAAAGACAAAATTAATATTATTACGAAAAAATTGATTCTCATAAACAGATTTTAAAAATCGATCAGCTGTTAAATCGTGTCGGATCGGATCCACTATGAATGCGGCCTAAATCTCTAATCCCGGGAGTGCAATGAGCTTCATTGAGATTTCAAGGGGGGGGGGGTAGGGAGGTTTACGTAATAAATATCCATTTTTTATAAATATAACCATTCTAATATTTTTGTCAACCAATGGGGTTGCTCCGCGCATCGTTTCGCCCGACGTTTGTTCAGAATATTCTAAGTCGCGCGGGTAGCAAAATGTTCTGACACTATGCGTATAGTATATGAGATGAAGACAGATGATGATATGGTTTGGGGGGGGGGTTTGATAAGAACTTATTTTTTTTATTATTTTTAATCCTACTAGATTGAATAAGATAACCTCTATTTTAAGTATATACCCCCCCCCCCTCCCTACTAAGATTGCTAAGGATTTTGGGATATGTTGCCTGTATGCTGATTATTAGATCATCTGACTTACTAAAGTGGACGGACTCTGGGATTGGGAATATTGATCTCAAAATTGGTTTCTCCCAAATTCCAATCTTTTTTTAAGGAAAAATAGGCAAAAAAAACTGACACTGGATATGGCTCATTATTACCCCGTAATTTTATGATGTATTTATATAAATATTTTTTACCCTTGTTATTTTCTATATAACATATAAAAAAACGAAGAAGCTTAGAAAGAAATCGAATTTATTTCTTATTGATTATATTATATAAAATGAATCACATAAAATATCGGAGAATCGATAATTTTGCTCAAATAAGAAATATAATAATTTATTATATATTATAGAATATTTTATATGATTTTTAGCTAATCAAGAAGGGACCATTGTTTATGCCTATACAAGTATTATACAAAAGGAGATATGATTTTTTTTAATAAAGAAGTGAAACATAATTAATGAAATCTTTCGTAAAAATTCATCAATATATACATTATACATTATATATATATTATGATGGTTAAAATTTATAATAAAAAATTTAAATGATAGAAAGGGATTTTTTATAAAGTTTATTTCGGTCATTTTAGACTTCTAAAGAAAGAAATAATATAATGAAATTATTAGAGAAATATAGTTAAAAAACAAACATATTTGCCAATTAATTTATAGTATTTTGCAAGCGCAAATATTACTTTTTATCCAGAACCACAATTAATACTGGATTTAAACTCCTTGGAATATCTTTTAAACCTGTTTTAAAAGCTGGATAAAGCGGGGTATGTATGAGCCCTCAAAAGCATCCCTAAAATATATAAGTATATTACTTAACAAACACGATTTTTAAAAAGAGAGAACGTTTAAATGTTAGAGTATTTTGCAGGGTAAACATACGGTTTATCCAAAACCAGAATTAATACTGGATTAGACTCTTGGAGCCATTTTGAAACGTGTTATAATATTTTAAAAGAACGAAAGGAAAAGCTGGCTAAAGCGGGGTATGTATGAGCCCGCAAATGTATCCCTAAAATATATAACATAGTATTATTCAGAGTTGTTAAAAGATACTTTTTAAATGGTTCTAGATACATCGTCTAAAATAATATCTAGATACAGATATTTTAATCAAAAATCTATCTAGATACAGATACCACATTTTTATATCTAGATACAGGATCTAGATACTTGTATCTAGATCCTTTAACAACTCTGGTATTATTACTTAACAAACTCAAATATTTTGTTTTATTTACGATTTATATTATATCCCAAATTATATAGTATATTTTTATAAATAATATTTATTATACGTAATATATTACTTACAAATAAGAAGAAAAGTCAAATATTAACATAACAAACATAACAAATTTTTTTATAATAAACAATTTATTTTTAAAAAAAAATAAAATTAAAAATTAAAAAAAATTAATATATTTTAAATATATTAAATATAAAATATATATATATAAAACAGAAATATTATTAATGTTGTGGAATAGTGGAGAAAGTTCTACGTGATCAAAATTAAATTTTTTCTTGGATCTTTTTAGAAATTCCCAGAAAGTATCGTAAGTTGCCATTTAATATCAATATTTTATATTTGTTCAGCTATGTTTGCAAGGCTACGTTATTTCCCTCATAAAAATGGCGTGTAGGGTTAGGTTTTATCTATATTATACTAATTATGGCCAGAATAATAAGGAACTGACAACCTCAAAAGAAATTTCAAACCCTAAATTATTGTGAAAATTTGGATTTTTTTTTTTCCCCCCACTTAAATTATAAAATTATGTATTGACAAAAAAAAAAAAATATTTGAGTTTTAGTGTCGTTAAACGGCTCGTTTTGAGGCGATTTTTAAAAATGGCTAATCTCGATATTTTATCCAGAAAATAATTATACAAGGCCTTAAGGATCTAAGCTCTTAGATGGCACAATGGTTTGAGCATCTGTTAACCCAAAATCTTGAAAGCTTAAGGCCATATTTGACTGGCTAAGATAGTAAGTTAGCGGTTTTTAAAAACGGCTAATCTCGATATTTTATCCAGAAAATAATTATACAAGGCCTTAAGGATCTAAGCTCTTAGATGGCACAATGGTTTGAGCATCTGTTAACCCAAAATCTTGAAAGCTTAAGGCCATATTTGACTGGCTAAGATAGTAAGTTAGCGGTTTAAGGATCTAAGCTCTTAGATGGCACAATGGTTTGAGCATCTGTTAACCCAAAATCTTGAAAGCTTAAGGCCATATTTGACTGGCTAAGATAGTAAGTTAGCGGTTTAAGGATCTAAGCTCTTAGATGGCACAATGGTTTGAGCATCTGTTAACCCAAAATCTTGAAAGCTTAAGGCCATATTTGACTGGCTAAGATAGTAAGTTAGCGGTTTTTAAAAAATCAGCTCAAATCGATCCGTTCGACAACACTACGTTATGGCGCGGAACTTGAGCGTTTATCAAAAAACGCAAACGATACATTTTTTAAAAACGCGTTCGTTTTGATTGGACAGAATTTTTTTTTTTTGTTAACGGTTCAATTTAAAACGTAGCTGCCCTTCGCGTTTTTATTTTGCGTTTTTTTGAAACGCTACTTTTGAAAACGTTCAATTTGTGAAGGCAAACTTTTTGAAACGCTCAATTTGGTGCTTTTAACTATAAATGTCAATTCTATAAAAATGATCATTTTGATGAGTTTTTGATTGACATTTTTATTTTTATTTTTATTTTTTTTCGAAAAATAAATAAAAATTACGATAAAATATTTTATTATTTTAATTTATTTAAATTTATTTAATTATTAAATTTATTCTTATTTTTTTTGTGAGGATAACTTGTGACAAATCAAAGATCAAGATCTTTAGGACCACATAAAAAAATCGGTGGCACCTCTAAGAGATTAAACTCACCCATTCATAGTGACGCTAAGAAAGAAAGAAACAGAACCGATAATTGCTCTCAACTCAAAGGAATGTTCAAGAATGAAATGTATTAGAAATTAAACAAGTTTCTGAAGTAATACGGGGTTTTTTTTTTAAATATTAATGACCAGTCAAACCTGACAGGTCATGTGATAATAAATAGACGAATCGAAATGGTTTTAAAAATAATCAGTTGTTATAAGGGCTAATAATTAAAAAAAAAAAGCGGCATTTTCTGAACTAGAAACCCTTTTAAATAGGTTTCGATGGTGGGCACGAGCCATAATTTTTATTCACGACCCGTCTATTCACCCTGTCAGTCAAAAAAAACAATTCACGCATGCTCATATTAATTTTGATCACCCAGGTGTCGCCCGACAAAATATGGCTAATCATTTTTTTTAAAAATATATAGTTTTTATACTCTTCTGTTTTTTTATTTAAAAAAATTCAATACTCTCTTAGGGCTAGGGTTAGAATTAGGGCGAGCTAGGGCTAGGGTTACAGTTAGGGTTAGAGTTAATTAGAATTAATTTCTTCTACTGCCAAAGCATAATTTTATAATATCTTTTATTTATATTTTTTTAAGAATATGGTAAGGTTAGGGTTATGGTTACAGTTATAGAATTAATTTCTTCTTCTACCAAAGCCATAATTTTTATAATATTTTTTTATTTATACTTTTTTTTTGAAGATTTTTATTATTAAATAAAATATTGATTTATATAAACCTAAATTTTTATTTTAAAAAGGTGGAACATATGTTTTCATTTTTTAATTCGTATATATTAAATAACAGTATACAAAATTTTCTGCAAATTTTTTTTAATTTTGAAAATAAAAAAATAATTTTTTAAAAATTTGACAAACTTCGGGGAAAATGGAAAATTTTGTGGAAAGGTCGTTGAATTTTTTGGGGACAAAAAGAATTATTTTCGCAGGGAAGCCAGCCATCTTGTTCATAAAATGCGAAGCGAAATGGTAAAAAAAAATAAGTTCACACTTACAATCACGTGCCCCACGGTGATCCATATAGTCACGTGGATTTTCACGGTCCGCCCTCTGGTTCCAAATGACTGATTGCGATATCTCTTTTTTGGAACCTTTAAATTTTTAAAGTAAACAAATCTAATGGCGGCCATCGCTCTTTCTTACGATTTTAAAAGCTAGTTTAGATGTTTCTTTCTTTCTTTCTTTCTTTCTTTCTTTCTTTCTTTCTTTCTTTCTTTCTTTCTTTCTTTCTTTCTTTCTTTCTTTCTTTCTTTCTTTCTTTCTTTCTTTCTTTCTTTCTTTCTTTCTTTCTTTCTTTCTTTCTTTCTTTCTTTCTTTCTTTCTTTCTTTCTTTCTTTCTTTCTTTCTTTCTTTCTTTCTTTCTTTCTTTCTTTCTTTCTTTCTTTCTTTCTTTCTTTCTTTCTTTCTTTCTTTCTTTCTTTCTTATTGTTCCTAATTTTTATAGATTTATGTATCTTATCACATCATTTAAAAGCATTAAAGCAATATCGATTTTTACCTACGTTAATTTAAACGCATATGTTATATATGCCAGAGTCAAATGCGTCTTTTGTTTTTTCCGACAATTTTGTTTTAAATTTGTAAAAAAAAATCCTATTTTGCCGCTAATGTATTCTATCCTGTTCGGAATAGAGCTCTGCAATTGGCGGTTTTTTTTAGTCAAAATGTCCGCCCACTCGTTGTTTTGAAATTTGTTTCCGTCTACCCAAAAAAATTTTTCAACCCACACGCTACCCGCCACCCGCCAAATATCGAAAAACATTTTTTAAAAAAAACTGGACCAATCCCACTCAAAGTATGAACGGTCGGTCGAAAAGCCTCGCCCAGTGGAAGACCTGTTAGTTTTGAATACCTATACCCTATAAAATATTATCAGACAATTTCGCCCAAGAACTTTCGATATTATTTTTTATATTTAAAATTAATTAAATGACCTCAAATTGTAAGCGGAAAAAATTGTCTACAATTCATGAGATCGGTATTCTAAACGTGCTTGGAGATCCATTTCCGGCAAAATCCCTCGCGTTGACGCGCAACGTATACATTTAGGTAAACTGATCGTTTTGAGCCGATTTTTCTCAACAAAAAATGCGCTAACTCAATATTTTCGCCAGAAAAATTAGAGATTTCGCTTAATAGATGTCCGAACCTTTGTTTCCTTCTTACAAACATAATCTTCAGGCTCCCGTAATTACTATTCTGGAATGAAATAAGAGGAAGGAAGGAAGGAAGGAAGGAAGGAAGGAAGGAAGGAAGGAAGGAAGGCAAAACGAGTCTTTTAACAACCATTTAAATTTATATAATAAATTTAACTACATTTTTTTTTAAATATAATTTTATACCCTTTATTTATTTTTTTTAATAAAAAAAAATATTTTATATGTATATATAAAAAAAAGCAATTTTTATATATATTTTTTTTTTCAAAGATTTCTTCCTTTGATATTATAAGCATAAAAATTTTAAAAAAAAATAAAAATATTATCGAAAATTTAAAATCAGAATTTATAAAGTTTAAAAACGAGGATAGGCAAGGGGGGTTGTGGAGTGTAAAGAGCCAAGTTTATTTTAATAGGTATATTAATATCGTATTAATATCATGTTAGTAATACATATTAAATTAATATAATTTGATATATTTTTATTATATTAATATTAAATAAAGTTTTATTTGCTAACGTGTCAAATTATTTTTATTATGTACCTTTTTTTTCCTTATAAATTGAAATAAACAAAATTTTTTTTTATTAATTCTTATTTTTCTTGTTTTAACTCACCCCCCCCCCTTTCGAATTCGATATTTAGATCGGAGCATGGGGGGGGGGCGTGGGGCGGAATGAACAGAGGGGGGTAAAGGTCGGGATGTCAGGGTGAATAAACTTTGGAGATTCCCTATTTCCGGTTAAGCGTTTTGGGTGACATTGTTAATTTTCGTATATTTTTCTCTCTTAACGGCGGAATCAGGACACACACCCTTCAGAAAATGTTCAAAAATTTCTGACTATAACTTTTCTATTTTAATAAAAAAGTTCTCCGAATATCCCAACCAATTTTTAACTCATTTTCCTCCACGAAAGAAAAGAATTAGCCGATAAAAAATTTTGTCACCCTTAGCCAGTTCGGTTTTTCAATGAACGATTTTTTTTTTCTTCTTCTAAAACCCAATGATCGTTGACTAGGGAGAAAGACGAAGGCAAATTGAAATTTTTTCATCTTTCAAAATAAAGATTTGATTAGTGAATTCTTAAATTATAACTAAAAAGATGTATAATCCCCACGCGTTCACACGCGTTACGAATTCGCGCCAACTGTGAATGCAGGGTAGGGCGATTTTATTTTAAGTAAAAAATTATTGAAAATAAATATGGCAGAATTGAGAATATCTTTTTTTAAAAAAAAGGAATCCGCTACCTTTAAGGGCGTGTCGCGGCGCGATTAAAATATTTGACCGGAAATGGTCGTTGGACGAGGCGTGAGCGTTGAATAACTTCTATATCTAACTTATATAAAGAAATCTATGTATACGTTATTTTTAGGTTGGGGAAGTGGGGATTTGTAACAAGGGAATATGGGAATGAACACTTTTTTTGAAACGGAAGTCGGAGATAATTATGGAACGTGAGTGGGACTGGGAGCTGTAATTACCGGAACTCTCCCGGAACACATCCGGAAAAAAAGAATATTAAAAAAATTTTAATTTTAAATTTGAATGGTAATTCACAGTATACCCATTATTTAAAAAATTATGTGATTTGAATTTAAAGATTCATAAAAACATCGTTAAAATTTTTTATATTATGCTGGATATTAATATTCTTACTGAGTTGGTGTTTAAGAAATGGACATTTTTTTTAACACATTACAGCACAAACACAGATGATATTTTTAAAATGTCCTAATTAAAGATGCATAGAAATTGGTATTTAACAAAGACCTGCAGCAAGGTCCTAGGCTCGGTCTAGGCCGCCATAGCCGTATTTTACTATTTTCATATATACCTCGACTGGGCTGGGTCTAAAAAATTTTAAAAAAAAATCCAGGCTTGGTATATATATATATATATAAAGATCAATGATCGTATTTTCAAATATTTTTAAAAACGCTTTCTGGAACGTTCTAAAACATGGAAAAAAACCTATTTTTTTTGGCCTGAACCGGAAACGGAACAGAAACGGGAAATGATATTTTGTTTTCCGGTCTTTGGTTTATAGATATATCTTAGAAATGTCAGGAAATAAATCGAACCCCCCCCCCCCCCCTAACCACCTCCCATGGAAAATATGATCGCGTTAAAGTTTTTGTATATAACGATATCTATATTATAAAAAAAAATTTCATTTCATTTCGAAAATAACCCACCCCCCCCCTTCCTCCTTAGTTTTCTACTTTCTATTTCAGTAAAGAATTAACTCAGAAGATTCTTCACCCATCTAAAAAAAAAATGCGTAGATATCAAAAATTTTGCACTTTCTAATAAACCACTAACCAAACGCTCACCCCCCCCCCTCTCTTCCATCAATGTATACAATAATATAGCTTAAGAACAATAATTTTTAAAAATCAAAATAAGTTTTTTTTTAAAAAAAAAATCAATAATTTTTTTTTAAAAATAAAGAAACTTATATAAATCGAAATATTTTAGAAAAAAAAAAATAAAATAGTGAAAAAAAAACCCCCAAATATATTATAACATAACCAAAAGTTCTTCTATAACCGAAACCCTAGAGACCCCCAGTAAAGATCATAGCAGAAAAAAACCCGTCCCTAATAGTGCTCCCCACCTCATTCTATAAGGAATTCCTGGATAATACTACAGGCATTATGGAAAAGAGGACACTTCTCAAAGATGCTGGAAGATCTGATCTTTTTGGATATTCACATTTTCCAACAGCTGTTAAATTATTAAGATTATATTAAAGCCGCGGTTAAAAGACGTCAAGTTTCATATTTTTGAAAACTCTACTTATAATTTGATTTTTTTTAAAAATAATTGATGATAGTAAAAAATAAAAAATTCTTATATATGTTAGCTTCAATCATTTTTTTGAGCACATTTTTTTTTTTGAATTTAAAAATCCTATTTTGCCGGAAATGCATATTCCAACATGGAATACCTTCCCTAATGAATTTCAGATAATTTTGTCCAGGAACATTAAATTATGAATGACTCAAAAGTTATCGGCAAAAATTATCTACGTGTATGTAGTATTGGGATAGGGAACGCGTGGCGGAGATTCGGGATCTCCAGCGTAAAAATTCGTCGCACAATTGTTTTGAAATTCACAAGTTTTTGAGATTTCTCTGTGTCTCCAAAATTTGAAAATCGCCATTTAGATTCTGAAAGTCCCTGGATTTCGTATCCCAATCTTCTTTCTTTCTTTAGTGAAAAGTGGGAAAATTTGTTTTTTAAAAAAAAAAAAAATTCTTTCTTTTTACTTTAATTCCTAAATAAAAACAAGAAGGAAAGAAAGAAAGAAAGTTGGTCAAAATCATCATAAATCCGAAAATTATTGTTGTATTAGCCCAAGTATCTAATACATGGGTAGATTTTTAAATTTTATAAGATTAATTCGGTGAATTTTTTGGGCCAACAAGCCCCAGACCTGGGGCTTGTCGATTCATTTATTTATTTTTTATTAGGTCTTTCATAGTATAAATTATATTATCATTTCCATTTATTTTTCAAATGGACAATGTTTGATTATAAATATGCCATTTGTATAAAAATAAATTCATATTCGTTTATTTAAAAATTATAAAAATATGTGTAAAATTTTTTAATTTTTTTCAATATACAATTGAAAATTAAATAAGTATTAGGTGCCACATGAATACTTATTTTATTATTATCATAAAAGTACATGATAATGTATCATATTTGTAGGCATAATTTGATCGGACTAGCCCTGGTTCTACTAGCCCCCCCCCCCCATAGTTACTTATATACTTGATACTTTATTTTCAAAAATATATTTAAACGTGATATACGAAACTCTCTGAAATACGAAATAAAGGGTTTTAAAGAATGTTATATTTAAACTCTTCGTTTTCATATTTTTGCCACCTAATATTATGGTTTAAAAACAGCCTAAAAAACTACCCAATAATTAAATTTGAAATTTTTTAAACAAAGCCCCTTGGGCCAACTTTACCCCTGGTCTACCCTAAGTAAACTCTTCAATGGAGCGATGAATTTCGATTTTTGAGCATCAAAGAATTTCAGGAAAATTTTTGATACCAATATTACTGTGCCTTTCTGTGGGTGCTTAAAAAAATATAAATAATAATGTATTTATTCGTATTGTGATAAAATTTATAATATATTAATTATAATCAACCATTTAGAAATATTTTTTCGGGAAGATAGTACAGGTCGAAGAACCAAGTCTCATACCAACCCCAGTCTCATTACAACCCCGTCTCGTACTTGTTGTTGGTTATACTATTATTCTACTTTCCAAGATTAAAATTTTTTTTTACGAAATCGAATTTATTTTATAATATAGATTTATTTTTTGAAAAATAGAAGATATTAAATTTAATTATTATATTTATATATAGTATATAGTTCACAAATTTAATTATACAAAAAATTATAAACCGCAAAATTTATTTTTTTAATTTTTTTTAGTATTCATTTTATATAAAAATTATTTTCATTCATTTATATAATTTTTTTTTTTAAAGTAAATATTTGTCTTTTAGGTCAATTTAATCATTAATTAACATCAATTCATGGCCCTTTAAATTTTTATAATTTTATATGCCTGGTAAAATATAATATTTTATTATTATCTTCGTCAAATTTTAGTTAAAGTAATAATTAATTTTTTAACTGGACATTATATTTTTTTTTCTCGTTTTTTTTTGTGTGTTCTTTTCTTGTCTCCACCTCCCATTATCCTTATCTCTACCTGAATTTTCTTTTCAAAATTAAACAATTTATTTTAATTTTTTGTTGATTTAAGAGATTTAATATAACTTAATATTTTAATATTATATATATATATAAAACTAATTTTTATTTCAAAAAATTAAAATATAAAAAAATAGATTTATTAAAAATTTTTAAAACTGAAAAAAATGAATTTTATATACTTTTTTCTTATAATATAAAGGTAAATATAAAAATTTTATGTGTTTTAACCCATTTAAGATATAAAAAACGGCCCATCTAACGCCTTTAAAATAAATTATTATATATATTATATATATTATATATTATAATATTTATTTAAATTGTCATAATTTGTAGCCTCTGTGTCTACCAATATTGAATTTATTTTTCAAATAGGCGTATATTTATAAAAAAAGTTTTTTTCTTCTTTCTTTCATCATTGATAACACTTTAAAAATATGAATTCTTTTAAAATAAGAAAACTTCCCCATTTATACAGTTAATTATTGTATACGATGATATAATAAAACATATTTTTTTGTTTTATGTAATAAATATTTATATATACAAAAATATTTAAAAAGAAAATAAAATAAAATATTACAATTAATATATATATATTTTTTTTATTGTATAAAATATTACAAAGAATTATTAACATAATATACATGCTAATTCCCACTCGAAATATTTAAAAAATATTTTGTGAAAGATAACTCGTATTCTTACCTTTAATATGGGAAGTTTTTTTTTTAAAAAAATTTTTTAATTATTATTTTTATTTGTGTTTAATAAGAATTATAAAACAATTAAAAATATAAAAATAAAATCTCATAAGAAAAACTTGAGATTGGACTTTTGATGTTGAGCTTAAATGGTATTGTGTAATGTTAGATTTTGTATGTATATATGTATATAAATAAATTATACGTAATAATAATGCTTCAGTTTTGTTTATATATATATACAACACTGTAGCGATCATTTTGCTTTGTTAAAAAGTGGGCGTATTACTGTAATACACATGATAAAGCGAGTGTAAAGGATTAATTATATTTAAGATTAAAATAGATATACATGGGGATAGTGTTGTTAAACGACTCGTTTTGAGCCGAATTTTAAAAACGGCTAACTCAATATTTTATTCAGAATTATATTACGCAAGCCTGAAGATTTTGCTTGTAGAAGGAACAAAGGTTTGGACATCTACTAGCGCAATCTAGAGGCTTAGTCAAAATTAATCTGGATAAAATATTGAGTTAGCCGTTTTTAAAAATCGGCTCAAAACGAGTCGTTTAACAACACTACATGGGGATATATTGGGGATTTTAAAGTTTTTTTTTTCGTAATGGCCTTAAGAAGGGAGTACCTAAGATTGTCCCTTACGATCAGGGCCGGCAAAATATATTTTATGAGTTCGGGCCGGGTAAAAATAATAAGGGCCGGACCGAAAAATCCGGTAGATAGTTAACCCGGGCCGGTTTCTCGTAACACTGTGCCGAACCTCTGATAACAATTTTTTTTTAAAAAAAAATGAGGTTGAATCTTACGGTTCAAATCTCAAAATGGAATATAAAAATTTTTCAAAACGTGCGCCTTGTTTGTATCTTACATTATGAGGGTATGGTAATCGATAAGCCTTAGAAGTTACTTGGGGGTTGGGGTCCTTAGGATAAAGTTCAATGGAATTACTAGCAACATAAAATTAAAGTTGGTCTTTTTAGTGCTCTGTACCCACTATCGGAGAACAAGACAAGAAAGAAAAGAAAGAAAGAAAGAATGAAAGAATGAATGAAAGAAAGAAAAGAAAGAAAAGAAAGAAAGAAAGAAAGAAAAGAAAGAAAAGAAAGAAAAGAAAGAAAAGAAAGAAAAGAAAGAATGAATGAAGGAAAGAAAGAACGAAAGAAAGAATGAAGGAAAGAAGAACGAAAGATGATGCCACTTTTTAACATTTTTTTTAGAAAAATATTGAGCTTTATACAGAGTCTACCTTAGACAATTTCGCAATTAACTATTAAGAATTTTAAGTTTTTAAAGGTTCATGCCTAAAAGTGTTTAAAATTCACAAAGCGAATGTGCTCAACTCCACATGCTAAAAACCAATTAGGAGGGGGGGGGGGTGGGGTGGATAAATCAGGTATTTTTAAAAATTTAGATAATCGTCTTTAAACACATGATTAAGGGACTCGCTTAAAATAAAACCGCCAAAATACCGAGACTTCTGTCACTTGGCGGGTTAATTACTCCCTAAACGATAGCAACAGCTGTATAATTTAACGCGATATATTTGGATAATTAGGTAAACGCTTCGAGCGACATGGCGGTATTTCCCTCTTACCAATTAAAAACTACGCGATTTCTAATCTACCAATGGATTCAAATATTCGAATATGACATAACGAATCAAATGAACTGAGTTGGTAACTTTTAAATCTCGAACGGTTAGAGTTACCAAATTATCATCCATTTTTGGCGGCAAAAGCAAAGATCATATCGGGCAGGAAAATCTTTCCCGAAAATTTTTTTTGGGAAACACTGTGAAAGAGGCTTCATTTAGTATACTTCATTATTTTTTTCTATCTTATACGTATAGACCGGCCTCTTCCTATAGAAACTAAAGTTTCCGTATATAAATATCGTAGACACCTATGTGACCGCACCCGTAGCTAGCCGCGTAAGGGTATGGTTTAAAAAGAAACCGGACCGGGACCTAAAAAATAAACCATAAACCTACGTCAGTGGTAAGTGTAGGGGGTGGGGAGGTACGCGAATTAATTGCGTCATTAAAATGTCTGCAGGGTTCAGAGGTGCTCTTTTGGGTTAACAAACATAGTAAGTAGAACTAATTTAATATTTGGGGGGCTCCGCGTTTTTGAGGTACGGAAGGAGGGAGTGCTAGAGGAATAAATCGCTGCGATTTCTCTGATATTTATCCTGTTTGGTTATTTTTGTTCAGTTACAACTGGATTAGTTTTTAAATATTAATTATTATTATGTTACATAGGCTATATAAGGTAATTTTATTGGAGAAATATATTGTAAAATAATAAGTTTTTTTTTCTTTTTTTAAAAAAAAAACAATATATATTCAATATTTTTGTAATATTCTTTCGAATGGGAATAGCTTTTTTTTTCGTAAATTTTCGATTATCAATTTATGGTGAGTGAGATTAAATCGATAAATCACGAAAAGGTTGGAATAAAATACGAGAAAGATACAATGCGCAGGTGTGAAAAATTAATCAAAATTATTTATATATATGTATATATTTTTTCAAGAGGATTTTTTTTTTGTTTTTCCATCTTGGAATCAAATCCAATTAGCCTGGAGGAAAAAATAATATTTAATTTTATTTCGATTCTCTCGAAAATTTCGCCCAATGTTATATTAAATGAATAAATATATGATTAATATTGTTAATAATAATTCTAGGTAATAGAGTTGTGTGTGATTGACGTTGGAGTGTGGAGAACTGTCCGTCACTGATCAGTCAATCAATCATTATCGTTTTTGTTTTATATCGATATACACATAACATATATCATTCGTAAGACCCTGAATTCATAGTGACGCGATTGCGATTTAGAACGCGATAAATTACGAAATAACAGTAAAATATCATATCGCATTTTATAGTTGTCTCAAAAGCTAGTCGCCGCGATTTTTAAAAAAAAAACACAAATCATTTTGTAATTGGCGCGTGAATTAGAAGCAAAATTATTGGTTATCATTCTTGTCATTGAATAAAGATTACTATACAGAGAATTAGGTCCTCATTTATTGGTAACGGCGAAAATAGAGTATCTTATAGTATCGTTACTCAAATTATATGTATCGAAGCTGAAAAAAAAATAAAATAAAATAAATACCGCCATTCTATTATGTCGAAAGACGAGAAAGGGGGCCTCGGTAGAGCTGGCAAAAGTAATCGTATAACTTTTTTAAAAAAAAAAGGAAGGAAGAAAACTAAATTGGCTGACATGGTACATAATTTACAAACTATTTTTACACGTAGAACAACTGATACTCCTAACCAGGCGTCGCAACATCGTCCTATGAAATCAAAGAGGGAAGGGAGTTGCGATAACGCCGCGGTCCACAGGCGTAAGAGGGGCGGACAAATGGAAATTTTTTACTATCTTCGGAATCTGATCTCGTAAATATCATTTTTAAGCTAATAAATTCTCCCCTTCCCCTCACACTCCACTCTTCCTCAAAAAGAACGTGGAAAAAAAACAGAACTTAGCTAAATGCCTGCAATAGCTCATCTTTAAAATCTCCAGTAAAATTTATGGAGAAAGGGGCTAGAGTTAGGGTTAGTGTTTTCCCTCCGCTTAGTAAAATACTGGCCACGCATATATTTGTGTGTTGGGGGGGGGGGGGGGTTAAGGTAAAGAAATATGGGATATAATAGTTTCCATTTCTGTAGTTATGATTAGAACTTTTTTGGGGGTCCGGCTCGAACAGAGTGTTCAGCCTGGCCCCCTTAACAAAAATTTTAAGATTTAAGGTGTGGTTTATCGAGACTGGATAATGTCTTCCAACCCATTCAAGTTCGGGAAGGATTTCAGAATACGATTTGAAACTTTGAGATTGGGGAAAAAGGGTGTGGGGGGGGG